CGGAGCCGGCAATGCGAGTCTAGGCTATCCGGTGACAAAGCAGCTTCGGATCGTGCAACGAAGCCTCCTCTTCCCTCCCGCCCTTCGGCTTTCCTCTTCACCCTACCGTCGGATTATCACCATTGAAAATGGTGCAACTGAAACCCCTACTGTTCGGATGCAGCGGCGCTTGAACGCGATACGCGAGCCGACAGAGTCCTGCACCGACAACCGGAAATGAATTCCTTGTTGCGCCGGCCACGAATTTATCGCCGTTTACGAGTTTACCGCCGATTACGTTCTTTTCTTCTTTCTTCCTTTTGTTCTTACGTGACTCGTGTGCTGCGAAACTCGAGATGAGGATATATTACTTTTTATCGTCGTTCGTTCTTACGATAATCGACTGTTTTGTAGAAATCATTGCATTAGATTTTGAATGATCGAGAGGAATTTATGAGGAGATGAACAAACGTGTTGTTAATCGATTTTTATAATAAAACATGTGCTCGTATTCCGTACCTGTTAACGCAATTAACAGGCTAAGAAACGTGCGAAATTGTTGTACGTTCTTGTTGGGAGATCGTGGAATTCGCGAGATGAGGACCGTCGATCGCAGGTCTTACCTACGAAGTAAAGTGAACCACCCTCCTAGGGATCGTAACTAAATTGGTGGCAGTATATTACCGGTCGGACTGCCGCATTTAATTTGAATATAATCGTGAAAGGAGATCTCAGAAGCTCGGAGGTAACAGGCGACGCGCGCGGGAGTGCGTGACGTTGACCGGAAGTGCTCCCGGGACACCGGAAACAAAATGGCTGCGCCCTCTCTCTTTCTCTCTCTCTCTCTTTCTCTCGGTGTGTCCTTGCGATCTATCCAAAGGGTATACTCGAGCTTGAAGATTTCATAGATGGAACCTACTCGCAAATAATGATGATAATAATAGTAATAACAATAATAATAATGATGATTACTATTATTATTATTATTATTATTATTATTATTATTATTATTATTATTATTATTATTATTATTATCGGATAACATTCTGTAGTGTTAAAAGCACCGTACATATTTTAATGATGAAAATGTAAACGGTGTCTAGGTTTAATTGAACGCGTAACGGTAGGCAGCTATAACGGCGAGTATTTTAACTGAATATTAATCGGCCGACATTCGATCAATGTTGTTTGACGTATATTTAAACATTCACGAGCATTATCATAAAGTAACGCGTTGTTAATATATCATATATCGCCCAAGTCCGTGACTCGTGCTCATATTACGAATATTCATTCTCTGACCGCGTTTTTGGAATATTTCAATAAGCAAATTATTATCGCGAAATATAAAATTAACCTATTTTTTTCTCTCTTTATTTTCTTCTCGTCGTTTCTTTTTCTTTTCTTTCTTTTTTTTTTTTTTTTCTTTCTTTCTTGTTTTGTTTTGTTTCTTTTCCCTTATTCTCGAACTATCGCGTTTACTCGGCTCGTTAAGAGAATTCAATATTAAACAGGCGCATTCGCGTGGCTCGGCTCGGCTCGGTTCGGTTCCGTTCGGCTCGTTCTACGCGTAAGGCAAGTCGAATGATTTTCTAGTAATTACGATGCCGGGCGATGATTCGCGTGGGAATATAGCAGAGCATGCCGTTCGATAAGCTCCGCGGAACAATAACAATTAAGCCGGCTGACTCGTAATGCCAAAATTTAGTATAAGCACGAACAATGGTTTGCCTGTTTCGAAGGGAAGGACGAAAGCTCGCTCGACAATAGCCGAAGCGTACTTTCATAAACAAAGGAGAGCTTTCGAACTTCTTGGGTAAGATCGTAAGGTGCCTATGAAAGAGGTAGGAAGCTCAAACCAGAGAGAGAGAGAAAGAGAGAGATTCGAATGACGAGGCGTCGTTGTTTGTTTTCAGCCAACGAAACAATCGAGCCTTTTTTTTTTTTACTTGATAATTACTAATTTAATGAGCGGAGAATTGCTCGCTGCTATAGTCTCCAAATTGTTTACAACAGAAATTCCGTGTCAAATTCTTCTTTTCTTTCTCTCTTTTTTCTCTCTGTTCTTTTATTTTTTTTTTTCCTTTTTTTTCTTTCTTTTTTTTTTTTTTTTTTTTTTTTTTTTATATATATGCCTATACATTTATACATATATACATATAATATTTTTTTTCGTTATTCGGCGTACACACCCAGTTTGGATTTATACACGTTGTCGGCGTGTGCTTTTGAAAAATCGATAGTTCAAAACGGTCGACGATAAATCAGTAGGGCTCGTCGACGAACCACGACATCCGCTTTAAAAGCTCGACGTTCGCGAGACGGGTGTTAAGCGCGCCGACTCTCTTTTTTCGCGGCTCCGAAATATTAGCCGAAAATTGAGCCACGATAAAAAAGGGGGAGAGAAAGAGAGAGAGAGGGAGACAGCAAGATCACTCGACGTCGACGTCATCAAAGTCGTTACGTAGCACGGCATGCATGCTCGTTAATGGATAAACGGTGCTCGTTTATCGAATAGCTTAAACGAGAAGGAAGGAGAGAAACAAAGTGACAGAAAGAGAAACAACAGAGGAGGGAAGAAATAGAGAGAGAGAGAGAGAGAGAGAGAAAGAGAGAGGATGGTGTTAAGGGTCTAAGGGGATGGCGGTGGTGGTAGTGGGCACCCTTAAGAGTTTACGGTATACGACTTGCCTCAGGAGCGTATGATTAAACAACTCAGGTGTTTTATGCTCGGTTCGTGTAGATCGCGTGACCCAACGGCCACATCCGTTTCCGCTTTTACGTACACGGTCAACCCGCCGTCTTCGGAGCCCCCCTTACCAATCCTTTGCCTTAAGGGTTGCACGTTACCATCGGCCACGAAAGAAAGTATACTTTCGACGTATCTCCGAGGCATGATCGCACTCGCTCGATACTCGCGTCCTACTACGAGACTCGAGTCTTACCGAGAAATCCATTGCCACTTTTGTACTTTCTATTTTCTTCGAAAGCTTAACACATCTCGCAAGTTATAAATAATGAAAGTGTTTTTTTTTTTTTTTTTTTAAAGAGGGTAAAGGAAATAGTTCGCCCCTCCGGTCTGAAATTTTTCCTTTCGATCGTAAAAACCAAGCCGAACTTTCTTTTCTTTTTCTACTGAGCTATGCTTTTATTACGCTTTGTATTTTAGATCGTTTCGATTTGAAACGTTAACTTAAAACCTAAGTACATACGTCGTACGTAGTTAAATTTCCTTCTAAGTTTGTCATAGTTTCGATTTTATCCAGACTTTATATGAATCTCGTTAATGTTTTAAGAGAAAAAAAAATCTACCACTTAGTTCCCTATTTAGGTCGAACGTTATGAAATGAAAGGTCAAGGAAATGCCGTAGTTTGACATTTGAGGCACGAAATATCATCCAACCCCTGTCACTCGATCTCTCTCGCTAGTCACTTTTCTAGCTTTCTCTCTCTCTCTCTCTCTCTCGCGAACATTTCAAAGTAATTTCATTAAACGAACGACGACGTCGTTCGATAATATAATCGAGCTTCTACTTCTTTTTTTTCTTTTATATCTACCTATACACTTATCTATCAACTTATTTCTTCAATAATTTTTACATTTCTCACTCTTTCGATTTTTATTAATATTTATTTTTCATAATGGCACGTTTTCAAATCGTTCCTCACGAGTCACGAAACATTATCGAACAATTAAAGCCGTTTAATTAATCAGTCGGCTAACACAATAACGAGCCACGCCATTCGTATATTTCGACAGGAGCAATAGCTAATTGCATAATATCTAATAAACCGTAAAGCGGATATTGAGAGAGTAATACGATGATTATACGATGGAGTGTCGTTACGTCCTACCTTTCAAAATATGCTAACGATTTACGTTGCCCCATGCCGAACATTATCGGGTTTTACTTTTATCTATAATAGTTGCGTCGATACAATAGTCGACCGATAGATTTCGAGTTAGATATTGATATTACTTTAGATTCTTTTATCGTATCACATTGTAAGTTTTTCGCCTTGACTTATCCTTCCCTTCTCTCTTTCTCTCTCTCTCTCTCTCTCTCTTTCTGTGTGTGTGTGTATGTGTGTATGTACTATCTCCCCTTTCTCTCCTCCCCATCTTTCTCGCCAAACGTCGAGAGCATTCTCATCGTACACCCTCTCGCCACTGAACTCGCGAGTTTTCCGAGAAATTAGTCGAGTTGATTTGCATCTGACGTGCACCTCGAGGCACCCACACGTCGCTCGCATAGTTCGAAACTCTGACTTTCCTTTCGCCAAATGTCTCGGCTCTTCCTACGGTAACAGGCGTATACTATCGCGTCAATTATTCTCCTCTCCTGACTGTGAAGGGTATGAGAAAGAGACAAAGACACACACAGAGAAAGAGAGAGAGAGAGAGAGAGAGAGAGAGAGACGGAGTCGTCACTCTCGAGTTTCCCATTGGGGGAAGATCGCTGATGTTACCCGCAATTAATATCTCTCGAAAATTTATTCTTTTCTTTCTATTTTTTTTTTTTCTTTTCTTTTTACTATCTTTAAAAGAAATATATAAGAAAGACGAAAGAATCGAAATTTTTTCACTAGCAAATACCATCATCACATAGACAACCAGGAGGGATGTTGGTGGTTAGAGTTACAGACTTCTGACTTTCATCCCGATTATCTTCAGTCGGCAGATACGAGGTGGAGGTGTGTTCCAAAGACGTAAGTCTCGGCACGAAGAACTTTCGGCTTAACTCGCTTGTTGTGAATAAGTAAGCGAAGTGTTGCAAAGTGCTGGGAGAAGTTTTGGAAGAGTGAAGAGGAGAGGAGAGAAGGTGGTGGCAGCCCGCGCCCCTTCAAACGCGAGTTGGGCCGACTCGAATTAAATTGTTATACGGATGAGCTGCCACGAGGAAAGAGACGTTTTCTTCCTTGTGCGCGTGAATCTTTCATTAGCTACTATCTAGCTACTTTGGTTCCACTCGATGAAGGAACGAACGTGTTCGTCGTTGAAAAATTCCTTTATCTCTTACTTGTGATCGCATTCTTGACAGGAAAAACATTCCAGATGATAGACGTTAGTTCTTGCTCTCATTACCATCTCGAACGCTGGTATGACTTTGTTACATGCCGCACAGTAGCCGGTGTTTCCAAAGAGCCTGGACAGAGAAAAAAGAGAAAAAAAGGAAAATGAAGAAGAATTATTTTCAATCGTGTACGATTCGCGCACGTCGACGAGGGACAAAGAAAATATTAATTTTGACACCGACGCATGGAATAAGATCCCGAAGAAAAATCGTACCCTCGATCGTAACGAGTGGCAATAAAAGCTCATGGGGCCATCGACGACGAGTACTACGTAGTCTTCAAATATTGGCCCATTAATAAAGGACACGAATGGTGTTTCGATAGGCAGACGCTACGGGCACCTGCCTGCTTTCCCTCGGGAGCTCGGGTAATCTCAACCCGCTTTATTTGCTTCGCTTGTTTAGACGAGAATGTGGATGTATTCAATAAGGGAAAACTCATCTGTAAAATTCGATTTGTTTTGCCTCCTCTGGCTATTCGGCTCCTCTTTTCCTTGTCCTCCCATCCCTCCCTTGCGCATCATCCCTCCATATCTTTTTTCATTCCTCGCATTGACTCTTATTTTTTTTCCCCAACGATAAGAAGACTCACCTCAAGTAATCTCTTTTGCAGAGAATTAAATTGGCCTTTGTATAAAGCGTAGAACCGACCTCTCCTAGTCTGCAATCGCAGCAACCACATTTCAAACAGTCTTCGTGCCAATACAAGTCCAAGGCTTTCAATAAATACCTGAAATAATAACGACGACAAAAGTATTACCGGTAAATTTAATTTTTAATCTTCTTATTTTATACGTCACGTTTTTAAATTATCAAAGACACTCACCTTTCCGTGATAGTCTTGCCACAACCAGCACATTCTTGCTGAGTCGCCCCGTTTTTACTACTTGGTTCATTCTTGCTCACGTCCATCATCATCTTTTTATCTCCGATTCCCCGTCGGAGATCTAATCGACTGAAAATAAAGAAACGAAAAAGGATCATAATCCTCGGCGTTTGACGATCGATCGAACGAACGAACGAACGAACGAACGAACGAACGAACGAACGAACGAACGAACGAACGAACGAACGAACGAACGAACGAACGAACGAACGAACGAATAATCGTATGTACACTTGCGTCCCTTTTAACAAGTTTCACCGGCATCTGGCACTAGAACGCGTCGGCTTGTCTATGAGTAATTAGAGTTACGGCTCGAGAATTTAACCGCGCGGTTTGGTACCATCTGTGTCCGAGCGTGGGTGGGCTCTCTCTCTCTCTCTCTCTTTCTCTCACGATGCGGTCAGAGTTTAGAATCGAATTAGTTTGACCCTCCCTCCACTTATTCCGTGCTTAAGCGTCACCAGTTCTCGAACCATATAACGAACGATCGAACGAACGAACATCTCCCTGTATTTTCGAGTAAGACATTGTTCTCCGGTTTCTTCGACAAACGTTCCTTCCTCGTTTCGCAAATTATTCGCTTTTCTTTTTAATCCTAGTTTTTCTTTTGTTCTTTTCTTTTTTATCTATCTTTTTCTTTTTCCATAAGAATTTTGATTTGGAACGAGACAATATCTATAAAGGATGTTTCTAAGGAAATGGATCCGATCTGAGGCACCCGGTATTATATTTACGAGTAACTCGCTATGAGCAAAGTTTGTGCGGTTTCAATATGTCCTATTTCCCCCAGTTATAGCCTGGACACAATATCACGAGGACGTTGTTAATATCTTCCATGCGGTCGCGACTTCAGAGACAAATATTAATACTTACGAGGAATCCTTTGATCGGTTTAATTGTAAAGGTCGAGAGTTCGGTATTTCGTCTTATTTCGTTGACTCGACGATTCTTATCTAAGTACTTATATATACAAATATAAATGTGTAGTAATATATATATATATATATATATATATATATATATATATCTATGTGAATGGAAAATTCGCCAATTTATCAAAGATTTCTTAACAATTAATCTAATAAAAGGATATTTCTAAATTTGATCGCAGGATTAATCTCACGAAATTTAATAGGGGAAACGTGTTTTAGCGCATTAAAACGTAGAACCGTCAGTCGCGAATTGTGCCGACAACGCGTTTGGATTACCGTTGTTCCATTATCGTTGAAACGAGAGCAACTTCGGTTACGAGAATCACAACGAGGCGAGTTAATTAATCGAGTTGAATCGATTATACGCTTTACTCCCCCCACTCTCAACTCCCCCACCTCCTTCTATACCGGCTACCGATAAATTGAGTTCGTTATAAATAATAGTACAATAATTATTATTCGTAAGCGTGCAAGCCCTACCACCTATGAAAGAGGAGGGTAATGATTAATGGAATAACTAACCAGCGTAGGGTGGCTAAATTATGCAAACTATTAAATCCGCTCGCGCACAAAGTTTCCCCACATAATAATTGCGTGACGAATGTTTCACCGTTAAATCCATGCGAGTCAGTCCACGAGGAATTCTATCTTATCGCGGAATTACGTTTACGCGGGAATTTTCTCCACGGTTGGTGGTCCGTCTTGAATTAGCCGTGGTTCTACTTTTACGCTTTCTACACGCGATCGTTTCAATAAAAATAATTCGAAGGTTAATTCGTTGCCACATCGTAGAAGGATTATTCATTGAATTAAAATAGGATAGAACGACTAGAATTATCGAGTATGTTTGTTACGATAGAAAATTAATATTTTTTCGCCCGTTCGCCCGTCTCACGAAAGAGGAAAGAAGAAAAGAAGAACAAAAAAAAAAAGGAAAAATTCTTGACGACAATCCTAGCGGCGGGATAAGATCGCATGCTCGATATAGTTGCAAACGTGTTATCGTAGGATTTGCTTTGAATGACTCGTTTGTAGTATCAAGGAAAACGGAAGTAAGTTGAATTACATATGCCGGCATTCCAAAACGGAAATTCCTGCGGACTCCGACCTGGATTCCAACGAAGACCTCGGAAACCTTCGACGACCCTGCGTGGCCAGTCGATTTCCACTTTGTTCTGCAATTTGCGTGAAGGCACACGTCTCCTACTCCCTTTCCTCTCTATGGCGAAAGTACCACTGAGGAGGGCTTGAAAAACCGGGCATTGTTGTGGCTCCCTCAAAGCTTTGTTTCAAACGTTGCCGTGCCGGAAGTTCGAACCCCCTTACGAGGGTGAGAATGTGAACTAGTAAAAGAGAGAGAGAGAGAGAGAGAGAGAGAGAGAGAGAAAGGGAGTGAGAGAAACGCAGAAAAGACGAACGGAACGCGACGGAGTTAATTCTTCGAGTACGAAACAAAACACCTATACACCTCTCTCCCTCTTTTTTCTTTTTCTTTTTCTTTTTTTTTCCACGACAGAGGATAAAGTACTTTAACAGAGAGAGAGAGAGAGAGAGAGAGAAAGAAGATGATACCTCTTGTAAGATTATTCTTCTCTTAATTAAGGTACCTTACTGATAAGGACATTCATGCGTTTCCGAGTAATTACTTTATCTTCGTGTTCTCCGTTCGCAAAATCATATTTGATAATTTCATCAGGCTGCGAGTCACAGGCATTTACGAGTATGTACATCGAATTTTCTAATTGCCATTTATCCGTGGCTACTGCGAAAAAAGGCAGAACTACGTATGTGTACTATTTAACGTGGTCAAAAAGTCAACGGAGCAGAGGCGGAATGGTTCGTTGGAACGTAAAGAGAGTGAGAGAGAGAGAGAGAGAGAGGGAGAGGGAGAGACAGCGAGTTCATAACGAGAGACGTTCCTTTCGAAAGTAGCTCGCATCGTTGGCGATCCGTTCGTCAGGTACGTGATTGGATCATCCACGGACGGTGATCTTCAAAGCGACGATAATTCGATTATCCGCTACACGTTCGACAACCGCTAACTCGGCTGTTGTAAGCCGGCCCTGCTTGAAAAGGCGGCCTAAGAGCTGCCTCTTTGCCCTATCCCTCTCTCTCTCTCTCTCTCTCTCTCTCGCGCGCTCCCTCTCTCCCTCCGTCTCCATCACTTCCCCTTGTGTCAGGTTGATGCGTTTTCCTTTGTCAAATTTTCTCTTACGCTCATGGGAATAAAGCTGTCACTTCGAGGAACAACTTAGAAGGCTGTTAAAACGTTCAGTTTTGTTAAAAGAATTGATAGTGTAAGTATAAATAATATCGCTCTACTCAAGTTTCATTTTACCTAGAGAAAATATTATGAGGTTGAAAATTATCAAATAATTCTTATTAATTTTCTTTGAGATTTCTTTTGCATAATTATACGTACACGTTAAGTACAAGTGAACGAAAAGAATAAATAATACGACCGTATTGTTGTAAAAAGTAGAAAGAAAGTAGGAAAGGAGTTGGCTGGTCCGTTATCGACTTGGCTGGGCAGTCTCGATGCAGTTCTCAAGGCTCCGCCCTTGCTGCATTCGCGACAGCCTCTCGGTGCCACCCACGAGATCGTCGAACGAGGAGTACCACCTCTTCCTATCCCTCTCTCTCTCTCTCTCCTTCTTCTCCTTCTCCTTCTTCCACCATCGTATCGACCACCCCCGCGCGCTTTCCCTCGAGCATCCCCCGCGTCATGAGAACGCACGTTATCGCGTTTACATCGAGCGAATCTCCGTGAAAAGTTTTCTGCAGAGAGTACGAGCTTGCTAGCGAACGAACGAACGAACGAACGAACGAACGAACGAACGAGCTAGCCAGCCCCTTTTGTCTTCAACAACGCTGCTGCAATACAGCGTCGTTTCTCTTACTTTCGGAGAGAGAGCGAGTCCGGTGAGTCGGTCCATTAATTAGGCGGGCCACATTAAGCCAAGCATTAATATACTCGGCTGGTTGTTTTGTTTTATCCCGCAGGAAGGACGTAACCTTTCCCGGATGCTGAGGAGAAAGAGAAAGAGAGAGAGAGAGAGAGAGAGCGGGAGAGAAGGAAGGCAACGGAGTATGGAGTAAGGGGTGGACCGGTGGTGTAGCTTTGCCGCGGGGTGGCCCGCAAATTATTTTGCTCGTCTTATCCCAAGGGACTGTTTAAATTTTGTAAATCGCGTCTCTCGAATCCTCTAAGCCAGCAGCTTCCTCCTCCTCCTCCTCCTCCTCCTCCTCCTTCTCTCTTTTATCCGTGCAAATAGCACTATGGAAAAATTAAGGAACACTTTGGAAAAATTAAGGAGATAACGACCTTATCCTTAGGTCATTTCGACCTCGAAGACGAGAACGATTCGAAACTGTGACAATAGTCCTCGATGCAGTTTCCGAGGACAAACGTTCGTCTTTGGAAAGTTTTGATATAGAGATTCTCACGTTTCTACTTCGTTTATATAATATTATCGTTCGCGAGAACGTGCATGATTAGGATAAAGAAAATTTCAAATGATGATCATTTTGCTCCTCTCGTATTCGGAATAATCATCGAAGCTCTCTCATAAATCGATGTTCTACCTGCATCTCGGTTAAGCCTCGTTTGTTGTATACCGTAGAGCGCGAAGATTTACGTTTTCTCCTTGATACTTTGGCAAATCGGCTTACGAGGTGCGTTCGAAATGCCGTGCAGTAACGGCAAGTAGTGGCAGTAGCCGTACTAGCAGCACCACCAGCAGCAGCAGCAGCAGCAGCAGCAGCAGCAGCAACAGCAACGGAAGCAGCACGTAGGTGAGAGAGAGAAAGAGGAAGAGAGAGATAGATAGATAGAGAGAGAGAGAGAAGAGCGCGTAATTTAACGGGCGAAAGGAATATTTCCCACGGAATAAATCTCGCGTAACAGCACCAGTGAAATCCTCGTTTACCCGGTATTCAACCCTTGCTAATGGGGGTAATTTAAGGGATGTTTTAAGCGCCCTCGGGCCACACGTGAGCCGCACAAAAAGTTCTCCACGTATTACGAGCACGGCCCGCTGTAATCGCGCATTAGCATTCCGAACGAGCCGAACGCTTAAAACTCACGCTTCTATTCTCTATCTGTCTCATTCTCTCTTTCTCCGGGTGACAAAGAGG